CATATAATAAGGGATTTAAATTCGTGGATTAGGATAATCCATGAAATTCACGAACATTGGTCCTCTACGAGCTGTTGATTTCAAAGTTGTCTTCTTTTTCTTTTATTTTCAAATGAAATGCTTTGATTTCGTATTCATTTTCTTAAACCAAAGATCCAAGCACGAGCATGTCGCTTTCAACCCAGAGGTGTGTGTATTTTTTGCTTAGATATTATATAAAGTTTCTTAAGGTCAAGATCTAGTAAATGAAAGGTGCCAACAGATTTATTAAATTTGAGAAATAAATTCCTTTATTGATGCTTTACAACTTTAGCTTGGTCAAATAAAGTGTTTCGGGGCATAATTTATAGATAGACAAGATGTAAAACTGTATTTTAAACTGTCATTTTAAATGAAAAATTAAGAAAACCAGTAATTAATATGGGACTTGTTTCAAGATCATATAAAGGAAATGCATCCAGATTGTCTACAGTCTCTCAGAAAACGGTAATAAGTATGTTCCTGGTCTCTTCTTTAAATCAATATCAAATTTAATATAGGTATCCGGTTTACTTTTTATATGATTTCAAATAGAATGTCATGAAAATACCTTATTTACTACATAATTCTGCCTAGGCCGTAAAGTACGGGAAAAAGAAAGTTGAAATTATGACGTCATAATGAATTTAGCATCAAAAAATTAGTATAAAGTTATTTACTAGATCTTGACCTTAAGATATTTAAAGTTCCACCCCTTTGATGTTTGATTGACCTTCAACATGTTCAAGTAAAGTATTCCTAACTAAAGATGCATTTTAATTACTTTCGTAAATCAGATTTCTATGTCCATGTTTTTGTTCCTTGAAATAGATTTTGTCGCAGTAATGACGACAAAAGCTTTTTTAAACTTCTTTTGCGTTCAGCGATAATGATATTTTTATGCCAACAAATGGGTTTTCCATTAAACAGAATCCTTAGAACCAGTCTAATTAATTTAGGGAGCATTTTGAGTGTTTTAAAATATGTTTTACAGAGTCCTGATGGAGTTGAATTTCTAAGAGTACAGAAGTTTTAGAAAAAATCTGTTCAAGTATTGAGCTCAAGACATCTTGCAATGCAGAACTAATTTTGTTGCTTACATAAAGGCAAAGACAAAAGAAAAATAAGTCCGAGTTGTATGGATTCTATGGCATTATATTTTAGGTATAAACACTTTTTCATTTGAAAAAAATTGAACTCAGTGAATAGAAAACTGGACATACTTTTCTACACATATTATGTATAAACTTAAAAGTAGTAAGTCATATACATGATCAAATTTAAAAGAAATTAGTTTTAAAGAAAATTCAAATTTAATACAGTTGGATATAGGTTAGAGTTGATAGATATCATCTCCAAGACGGTATTGTTGACCTGAAAACAGAGTGTTATTCAAGAGGTCCCTTATTATAAAAGAAAAACCTGTACTTTGACCTTTAAACAGATTCTTTTATATTAATAAAGATGTTGTATGTTATTTTTTCACATTGATACATAGCGAAAAGCGGAAGTAATTTAAGCCACTGTGACTGAGCATGCAGTGTTAACGTGCTCATATTTCCTCAAAGAAAACATTTTTGTGGCTACGAGTAAATCATTGATAATAGAAATTGTACAGACCGTATTTCTTCTAACTTTATCTCATGATAAATATCTAGCCACAAAATAATTGTAAGCTCATTCGACGCTAAGAAGTCCATGTAACCATTAGTAGCGATGTAAAAAGTTTCCTAAAAGAAATGTCTGTAATAGAATTTGAAAAAGGTGAGTACTTTTCGACACTAATACAACCATTTCCAATGATATATTAAAATAACCCAGTTCTTTTTGACATTATAAATAACTATTTCTTCAAATACATGTAAACTGACCTCGTAAATGCTTCCTGTCCTTGTCATTGGTCTTATGCACATTTAATTTAGTCAGAAAATACTCCACATAAATGCTTTAATGTTGCTATTAAGAAGAAGCTTGCATAAGTTTCTCATTGACGGAATCTATGTGTTTTCGGAGACCAGGACTTCCATCAATTTATTGAAATTTCCATGGGTACTTATTGTGTCCTGTAGTTAGATTTATTTTATATTTATATGCATGAAGCATAATTAATTTTGAATTTTACTTGTCTCTTGTTGTGATCCTCGATTTGACATTGTCGCCCGCGTGGCGCAGTGGTTAGAGCGTCTGCTCTAGAGTTGCGAAGTAAAGAGTTCATCCTTACGTCGCGGGTTCGAATCCCACTGTAGGACGTGGAGACCGGTCCTTCGGATGAGACCGCATAAACCGAGGTCTCGTGTCGCAGTAGGTGCTGGCAAGAAAAAGATCTCTCCCTGCTCAATGGCCCGCGTGCCGAGTATAGGGGAGATTTTGCAGCTCTCCACCGGCAAGTGGTGATATTCTCAAATTCTCGAGAGGGGCGTTAAACAATATACAATCAATCAATCAATCAATCAATCAATCGACTTGACATTATAGCAATATGACCGATCATGTTTATTAATTAACAACTTTTATTTTCATTTCAATTTCTTTTATATATCCCAGAGTCTGACACACTCATATTTAGATGTTTCACCAGAGAAAGATATTAATGATAAATTGAAAACTTTGCTTTACGAAAAAAAGTATTGACTTCAATTTTTATGTCATCAAATTTCCTTATTTATGTTGCTTTATATCGTAGGCACCTGAATATTAGGTTTAAGTCTTTAAGTTCATTCGATAAAGTCCGCTCGGCGTTGTAGAAAAACGTTTGCTTTAGAGTTGATGAGTAAGGAGAAAATCCTTATATCATGGGTTCGAATTCACTGTGTAAGATTAATAACAAACAATTATACAATATTAAATATAAAGCATTTTAAGTATTTAATTTCCCCCACAGGAAAATCTTTTTGTTTTTCTGGCAAATACTTTGCACTTTTTGCTTGCTTTACAGTACACTTATAATTGTCAATTTGATTATTTCTTTTTAAATAAAGCTTTCTAATTGATGATAAAGTGAGTGTGTGTTTTAAGCATTCAAATGAACAAACTGCTTATGAGCAGTGAAGATGAAACCCCAGGAGTACTGCACAACTATATATTTAAGAAGTCGTGCAAATCAATACGAATTCGGAAAATTCCAAAGGGCATTTGGAAAACTTCAAATCACAAAACTTAACAAAAATCAAAAACATCTAAACTAACGACTTTTCAAATTTATAAACAACCACTCCCCTGGTAGATTAAAGTCCAGTCTTTTTTACATCATTGACACCTGTTTGTTTATCGATAAAAGAGGAACGCGTAAATTTACGTATCTTGTGATTGATCATTTGCAAAATAATTTAGTTATAAATTATTGTGATTGAAAACAAAAGTACTCTGAAATTGATATTGAAAGGGTGCTTGAGTTTCTGATTGACAATATCTGTGTAATCGTTGAAGTAGACCAATTTTGTGTTCATATGATGCAAATTTTCAAAATCTTACATGAGAAGAAGGAACTACTTGCTATAGCCTTCTACTCTACAGAAATGTTGACGACGTTATCAATTAACATAAGTTATTTCCATACCTACATGTATGAAGAAACGATACAATCCATTGAGCTTGAAATAAAAGTTACCACAAAGTCTGGCACATTTGGTTATATTAAGATATCATGCTAAAAAAATTGTAACTTGACAACAAAAAGCTTTACGATAAACATTTTTCATCTTCATTTTGCTTACTTATTCATGGGGCGTGGCCCTTACTTATGTTGCAATAAAACTTTATCATCTACATATGGGGTTCATATTATGGAGTTGTTTCGATTCGCAAGAACATGGTCTACCTACAAAATATTTTTAAAACGAGGAAAGTAAATAACAAACACATGAATATTAACAGTCTCACTGAAAAAAAGTTATATTGTCAATACAAAGACCTTGTCAGAAAATGCTCTTTCATTAAGTCAAATACTGATGGAGGTTTTTCGTCCTAAAAGCAATTCCATTAATTGTGTTCAGATTTTTGTCTATGGATATTTCCTACATATTCCGATCATGATAAGAAGCGCACATAGAGTGTGTCAGGTCGGCAGAGTATGCTCACTACTCCATGGCACCTCATTCTACCTCTAATGTTAAAGAAATCCGTGTTTCATCTGCTCTTGTATAATTTGTAATGGCTGAGTAAACTTTTGAGTTTGAAAACTGTTGGTTATGTCGATATTTCAATTGATATTAATAACATTTTTGAGATGAGATGTAATAATGATTCAAGCCAGACCTTTATTCATTCCGAAGAACATATTACCTTCTGTTTGCTTTTAACCAAACTAAATTGTGTCTGTTTCCCTGACATTTCATTAAATGCTGCAATTATTGAAAAGAAAAACGCAATTTTCATTCATTGAATCATTGAAAGTGGGGCAGTCATAAATTCAAATCCAATCAGTAAGGGTACAATCTCACTAATAAAAATTCAGCTCAATATCTGCGGACCATACGAATTTTGTTTTTTCACTGAAGTATTTTTCTACGAAGTTCTTAGGTTGAGGGATCTGTAGAATTAATTTTTCATGCCATAAACCATTTGGCAGTTAACCTTAAAGTACATTAATTTTGTGTTATCAGATATTAACACTCAATGCAATGTATAAGATTAAGTACAAAAACAATTTTTAAGGAAAATTTCTCAATTTTTAAAGAGATGTGCCTAAAACTCAGTACCCAATATTTTTTCTCTTGAAAATCAAAGAAAAAAAAAACGTCTGTAGTTCTGCGAGAAATTACGATGACTTTAAAAATGTGGTGCATTAGAAGGCGGAATTTCTTTAAAGTCTCCTCATTAAAACACGCTTAAAGCGAAAAACTTACATTGAAAATATACCTATAACGAAGTCATATTTCCACATGTAATACAAAATCAAAACATGGACTGGATTCTTGACATACGGACTGAACTATTGTGATTGGTTGATATGTGATGCATATCCAGATTTAAAAAAATCTCAAATATTCTTTCAGATACCCCGACTCTTCATGACTTTGGCTTTACCTCATTGGCGATTATTTGTGTTTGAAATTCTCCTAGCAATCAGCTGTTCTGCACTGATTCTGTCATTCGATGATCGGAAATGATGACAAGGAAACTTCAACTATCGCTTGTATTGAAGAGAGCGCCATTCAAGCTTCGTCACTAGTGTAGCAGCGAGAAGGTAAGCAAGGGTATTGTCTACCATTGTTCTTATAAATTATCTAAGTCAAGAAAAAAAAAGTTATACTAGTAGTTTCTGTCATTATTGAGATTTCATTTTAATTGTTCAAATTAAAATCAGTAAGTGCGAAATTATTGAATGAATTTTATACTGAAGTCTAAGAAAATGTTTTCATATATAAGCAATCATTACTTAGAGGAAATTGCATATTCCTTTTGAAGCTTGGGTGCCATTTTAAGAGATTTAACAAATGAAATATTCATAAACCTGGGAAAGCAATATTTTAAAGAAATTGCATTGAGAATAAGTCTGATTCCCTGAGAGCAAGATATGTGCTTTTGAAAATAAACTTTTTTTCGATAATAGACATTGTTGATTTCTCCGCATGGGAGCATTAAAAAAGTAATTTTCAATAAAATAATGTTAGCTACCAGCAGGAACTGCGGCTGACAACTGTGTTGATTTGATTGTCAAGTGGGATTTCGTAAAACACTGGATATAATTTCAGATTTTTATAGTGTGAGAGATTTTTTTGGAATTTATAAATTTAAAAATAATGATTAATTAGATATATATTTGTGTTTGAGAGATTCCTTTTGGATATTAGGTCGTAGCTCGCTCCTCTAAAAAAATTAGAATAGGTAGTAGTTTGAATAATTTTAAATTATTCAAATTAAAAAATAATGATTATACACTAGTCAACATTGGTGGGTGCGAATATATATTTAATGTGCAGAAAAAACAAAAACTAATACCAGGAAACAATTAAGTTCTCAAAGTAAAATAGAAAAAAAGTTGAGGGTCGGGGGTGAAAAATGGGGAAGGTAGGGTAACCGGAACCACACATATTTTTTTTATTTGGCCTTAGCAGAGATTTCCTTGTAAAGTAATATTGCGAAAACCAATAGTTTTCTGAAAGAAAGAAATTGCACACTTGGTGGATAAAAGACATTACTGTAAACGATATCAAACTAATACACCTGATTCGCAGGCTCATATTTTTATTATTTCCCTATCAAAAACAGACAAAAGAGAAGAAAAGGAAATTAGCCATCTCATCTCAAATTCTTGACTGGATGAATTTGGAATTCGGAAGAAGAAACTGTACATCTTCATTCATTTATTCTAGCAATTAATTTACAGTAATGTAACTTATGACTAAGGATATTGTTTATAGTGATTTTAAATAACTGCCACGAAAAGAGGAAGAATTTTGCAATTATATTCTGCATTCATTTTTAGAATCCATTGTCAAAAAGTGAATCCCATGTATTAGCAAAAAAATAAGGTTTTTTTCTTCAAGAAAATGTCGATCAATAATCATCAGAAGCAGAACTCGTTAAGGACATATCTATGCTATCCCAGTCCCGCTGAATGCTGTTCCAAATTATCGTGAATGACGTGTAAATTATTACACACGGATGAAATAAAGATGTCACCACTTCTTAAGGCTTGAGTTCTGGGGTAATCTGTTGTGAAAAAATATGACAACAATTCTAGTGGAGAAATTAGAAAGCTGTCTTCGAGCGTATAATAGAACTTCAGAAGGGGTTAGGGAAGGAAAGTGCCCAGTAAGTTCACAGCGAAAGTGAGGCCGTGAGTGCAAATAAGTTGTGGATGACAGTTTGAAGAGCTCAAGCTATAAGAATATTCCTGTTCAATAGCAAAGAAAGTACGTAAAAAAGAATGCAAATCATATTCATGGATTGCAGATGCTAGATATTTTAAACATGGACCTTCTTCTGGTGCTCTCAAGACATGAAAAAGTTAAGAAAACAGCTTTCTTGGCTAGATAATGAAGGGAAATCCAAAAATTAATAGTTAAATTGGCTTTTCTCAACATTAAATGTAAGCGCGTGTTGTTCTGTTTTTAACAAGCATTTGATCGTCTTAGAAATTAATTGATAATGGTGTCATACACATGCTAAAATTAATCATATTAGATCGTTAAAAACCCAAAACTAAAAATAAAGTTTCTAAAGAGTGAATATAAACCTTAATTTACATCATAAACTAGAAGAAATTTGTCCATTGCAAAAATTTAGATTTGAATAAGATAGAACCCGTTCGTTTTTGCAACGAATTAATCTGTGAATTTTTCTTGTAAACGCATGTCTAGATTAAAAGGTTAAATGCAACAGTTAAGAAACTATCTGATCTTTCACATAATATGATGCATGTTAAACTTTAATTGATTACATGTTCATCGGTGCACTATTTTCAGGCAAACAGTACCATACATGTATATCAAGTGTTTTCTTATAAAAAGGTGAGCATTAACAGTGTACTTTTTTGTTAAAATCTTTCGAAAATTTAAAGAAAAAAATAAAATAAAAAAAAACATGCTTACCCTGTCCGGAATCGAGCATGCATAAAAGAAACTTTCATAATACATGTATTATGAACAACGTAATATGCGTTGTTTCCGATCACTTTCATTGCATTTAATTGCATATAATCACCTTATTAAATAATTTTCCTGATTTCTTTTATTAGAATGAAAAAGAAATGTGTCTCATATTTTACTTAAAAGATTTAAGGCTAATTGAGGTCTCTTAAATAATAAAGAATCGAGACTTTGTGTTTTGACTACAAAACAAATTATTATAATCAAGAATATGTCCTAGCTTTGTTCAGACAATTCTCTGTGGAATATTGTAAGTAGGTCAAAGTAATGAGTATTTATAGTAAAAATGAATAACTCTATTTTAACACGCAATTTCAACAAAATTCTAGACAATAGTTTAACAATAATTACAGTTTGTTCTTACTTACTTAAGCATTACAGTTTTTAAAGCTTAAAAAAATTAAGGATAATTGATAGGTTGTTAAAATATTTACGTCTGTGGAAAAAGTCTAATTGAAATAAAAGGTTTTCTATGAGCTAAAACCATGGCGGCTTCTTTTATATTCCAGTTCTAGGTTTTTTTTTTTGGCTAGGATCAACTTTTAATTTTAAAAATAGGACCATGAGCTAGTATCTATAATTTTCTTCATTTACTCGATATCTAGAAAAGGTTTTTCAGATGACAAACAGGTCCTTTAGATTCTTTAACACATTGGTCTTTGCTGACCCAAATACTTACATGTAGTACAATGTATTGTCAAAATGCCGTTTGTATTATTCATATGTATACTGCAATGTTAGATGGAATTCAAAGCTCTCTCTCTCTCTAGCTCTCTCTCTCTCTCTCTCTCCCTCTCTAAATACCTTATTCAAGAAAAAAATGTTTTCATTTCAGTCTCAGATTTCAACTTTTCCTAAATTCTCTGCAGATTTATCAGTACACCTGATTTGCAAGATTCTTGCTCAATTACCCTCAATTAAACATGGCTTTGCTAAACAAATTAAATAAAGTTAGCATAATTCAGTCAAAACGTTCAACAAAATTGCCATCTTCTTAGATATGCGTCGTTTCGAAGATTGTAAAAACAATGTTTTTCTCGTGCACGCATCCGGAGACCAGCATTCTGTTCCGTTTTGTTCCATATTGTCCTTGTAATCTTGTCAGAGTTATTCGGATACGTCGGTGATAAAGTAGGATTGGTTTCCGAAAAGACAAACTGGATTATACAGCGCAGTGACCTGTAATGGGGCTTTCTTATTTCTTTTTCCAGTGTTAATAATAATTGATTTCTCTCACTTTACGTTGCCTTCAACATTATCGAATTTTTATTCGTGAAGGTGGTTTATTGAGGATGTTATAATGAATTTTGTTCCTTAAAGGATGATTGGGAATACATTTATTAAATCATTTTTTAATATCATAGGATACCATAATGGAAATTTAATAGACTCATTTAATCCTTGAATATTTACTGATTAATGTCATAATGTTTAAATTTTTTGTGAAAACATGACATGATAATAAAAAAGCACACTTTAACCTTTATAAATATCAAGTGAATTAAATATCTCTGGTTAAATGTACTGTTGCAAACTGTTGGAGAACATAAGCAATTTATGTTTCTCTGGCATAATCTGCGAATTTGTCACCAGTTTTTAGCTTGATAAAATAAAAAAATGGGTGAATTTTTAGGCAGGCTATTAACAAACAATTGATTTTACAACGATATCGACGTGAATTTAAAGTTAGCATGCTAATTCTATATGGTTGATACAATGACGCCATTGCTTTCAAATACAGCATGAAATATATGAAGAAAACGGAAAGGATTCAAGCTCACACGTCCATTAAAGAGTACCAATTTTAGAACAGAGCAAACAATAACATCTTAGACATTAGAGGTGGGATAAGGTGCCATGGAGCAGTGAGCATTCCCCACTGACCGGTCACACCCGCTGTGTGTTCCTTGTCATGATCGGGAAATAACGGGAAAACATTATATCACTAGATAACAAGTTGACTGCCGATTTTCAAAGAAATTTTAAATGTTAAATCATCAGTTTCTTACTAGATAGTCTGCGGATTTCCGTTCAACCATCACGAAATAGGATTATCGGTGGAGTAGGGATATTTTCTCCTCAATGGCAGTGAAACCACCACAGGTAATTGTTTAGTTCTCAATTTGTGTAGTTTTATTGGACTTTTGAGCATGAGTACTATTCGTTTCCGACACATTTTATAAAATAAATTGTCAAAACAGTGTCCAGGAGTCTTTAACCGTTTAATACACTTTAACCGCTATAATGAAGAGCCTTTTGTGCAGGGGGTTCTTGTGATAATTTCAGCTAATTTTTATTTAGAAACTATAAATACATGAAGCTGGTACATTTGTACTCTGAAATTGTATTTAGTTTCGTAGGTCAGTGTTTGTTCTGCCCCTGATTTGTAAACGTTGATTGAATGGACGCCTGAGCTTGAATACTGTTCGTTATCTCTTTATGTCATCCTTTAATAAAATAATGTTAAAGTGAACAATTCTCTGATAATGAATCAACTCTATAAAATATAGAGGTTGGTACGTTGGCGTACAATTAGGCCATAAGTAGCCGTTAATGATTGTTTCTATTCATTATTGACGAAGTGAAACGTATC